ATAACATAATATAACATAACATAACATAACATAACATAACATAACATAACCTAACATAACATAATACAATATCACATAACACAACATAACACAACATAACATAACATAACATAACATAACACAATATCACATAACATAACATAACATAACATAACATAACATAACATAACATAACATAACATAACGTAACGCAACGCGACGCGACGCAACGCAACGCAACGCAACGTAACATAACGCAACGCAACGTAACGTTACACTACATAACATAACATAACACAATATCACATAACATAACATAACATAACATAACATAACATAACATAACATAACATAACATAACATAACATAACATAACGTAACGTAACGTAACGTAACATAACATAACATAACGCAACGCAACACAACACAACACAACACAACCTAACATAACACATAGCTGCAATCGCTAAAATCGATAAGCCTAGCAAAACACAACTACCACACACACACGCGCGCGCACGCACGCACACGCACGCACGCACGCATACGCACACGCGCACGCGCACGCGCACGCGCACGCGCACGCGCACACACACACACACACACTCACACACACACACAGCAGCAGCAGCAGCACTACTGTAGCAGCAACCCATCAGTACAGCTGGGTGCTCCAACAATCCCACGCCAAACGACCGCTCCCACAAACGCTCCGTATGAAACGGTCGGCGTGTCACCTCTGACAATGACATGTCATCGATCGTTACCTTATACAGCTCTAGGCAGACGAGACCGGTAACAAGTGACGTCGTCGTGGCGATAGCCGGGATGATTCGTCCTGCAATGCCCTTGCTCTGAAATCAATCAATCAATCAATCAATAAATCGATAGACGGATCAATAAATCAATAATGATTGATTCGACGATGTATTTATCACAAGCCGATTTGAAAACCAGCCACAGGCGACGCCATCCACGCAACGCATTCAAATCTTTGACCGAATTCATCTTTTCCGCAAACTCCAATCTTTTAAATTCAACTCGCATTATTTTGCATCATATTTAATTCACTTTTTCAATCGAGTAATCTAAATCGAATCTCGCCACTCCCGCGGATCAAATTCGTTAACGCGTCGCCGACGACGACGACCGACGACAAACAAGCGAACATCGCTCACCTTGTGCCGGTCGGCGGGCGGAATGTCGTAGTTCGCCGCTCTGAGGTTAGAGGTAGCCACTATGAAGTCCATGTGATGGTTCGAGTCGTCGTCCTTCTCAAAGTCGATCACGTTCATGACGACCTTGCCGAGCGAGTGGCTCGACGGTAGCGCCGCCTGGAGGGACGTCAGCTCACTGTCGTCTGCAGGACAGATGAAGAGAGAGTCAGCGGCAATCACAGATGCGTTGACAGACGTTGCTGTTTTCGATCGATCGGGGGGAGAGTAGCATCGACAGCGGAGGGGGGAGGGAGGGGGGAGAGTACTTGTGGTCATCATCGATCGACTGGAATCCGCACGACATAGTCTAACGCGCATAAGCCTCTCGACGTGCTACATATCGATCGCTTCTCGCGAACACACAAACACATGAACACAGTAACACACAAGAACCAGCACGAGAGCGAAAGCATAACCACCTGCCGTCAATCCCAACTCTGGTGCGGCGGAGGTAATTAACGCCTAATGATTATATATATACTATATTTAATATGGTAACAGTGTAAAACAATATATATATATAGTATTATAAACTATTCTTGATATGGGCCTGTAGGTTAGAGGTTCTGCTCGACGAGAGTACAATTGGTTACTCATCCATGAACGATAATAAGTACAAATCATATGATGAATCGAAGTATGTTAACGATCATTATACTAAGAAGCTCGTATGTTACACGACTACATAAAAAAAATGTGACGAGAAAGCGAAATGTAACCGAAATCACTAAACAAGCAACAACAACACCCATCAACAACTATAGCATCCCAACAGTGTACGTACTTCGAGAGATCTGTATTCTTAGCTTTCTCCACATAAGAAACTTCTGGCTTCGAGTAGCAATAGGATAGAGCAACTTGCAACACACCGCAACACAGGGGGACGCCCACGGGTCCCCTCGAACCGCAGCTTACAGCGATAATCTGCAAGCACAGGGGGAGCCACGGGTCCCCAACGCAGCTTACGCGATACCGACAAACGCACGCACGACAACACATCTCGGCAAGAGCAAATCTTGAGGTGTATGCCGAAAGGGTGGGTGGGTGGTAGTTATTTAATAGTTTATTCCTTATTAGATATCAATTGAATCGGGGGGGGGCGGGGGGTAGCCTGCGGTTGAAAAAGGCGGGCGGGGGGTTATAACAAAATAAATACATGGTTATTTTAACGAGCAGCGGCCGCCGGCTGTCTGCCGCGGTTACGAGCGGACCCCTCCTCCGTCGGCCTGCGGTTACGAGTGGCCTCCTCCGTCGCCCTAGCGGTTACGAGGGCCTCTTCTCCGTCCGCGCGGTTTACCGAGGCGGCCCTCCTCCGTCGCGCGGTTACGAGCGCCTCCTCTCCGTCGCGCGGTTAGCGAGCGCGCTCGCTGCAGTCGCCGCCGGTTAGAGCGGCCGTCCTTCCGGTCGCCGCGGTGTTACGAGCGCCTCCGCCGTCGCCGCGGTTACGAGCGGCCTCCTCCGTCGACAACTAACGCGCAGCATCCTCGCCCGTTCGCGCGTCTGCGAAGGGGCGGCCACCGCCGCGCCAAACCAAGGGGCGGCTGCCGCTGCGCGGCTTGCATCCAACCTTCGGGAGCACGTAGCGCACGTAGGGGACCTCGACGTCCTCACCGTCAGCATCGTTACAGCAGAGCTCGAAGACAAGAGCGCAGACGTGCGGCTCTATGCGCTTGTGGCTCACCTTCTTCACGACCTCTGACATGCTGCAAGACAGAGCGAGAGTCAGGCTGATAGATATATCCTATAGACATATAGACATATATAGCTAGATAGATATACTGAACCACAGTGTGAGAGACAGGGTTTAGATATATAGATATATAGATATATACTGAAAGACAGAGTATAGACATACTGAAACACAGAGAGCAAGACAGGGTTTATACATGCAGAAACACAGAGAGAAAGACAGAGTATAGACATACTGAAACACAGAGAGAAAGACAGGGTTTTTTTTTAATACATGCAGAAACACAGAGAGAAAGACAGAGTATAGACATACTGAAACACAGAGAGCAAGACAGGGTTTATACATGCAGAAACACAGAGAGAAAGACAGAGTATAGACATACTGAAACACAGAGAGAAAGACAGAGTATTGACATCTGAAACACAGAGAGAAAACAGAGTATAGACATACTGAAACACAGAGAGAAATGATCAAGAGTTATAGAAGCATACTGAACAGCAGAGAGAAAGACAAGTATCAGACATACTGAAACAGAAGAGAGATAAGACAAGTATAGAACATACTGAAAACACAGAGAGAACAGACGAGTTATAGACATACTGATAACACAGAGAGAAAGACAGAGTATCGACATGCTTGAAAACAGCAGAGAGAAAGAGACAGGGTTTTCTAGACCATACTGAAGACAGAGAGAAAGACACGAGTTTAGAATATATAGAAAGCACATGAGAGAAAGACAGAGCTTCTAGAGCATACTGAAACACAGAGCAGAAAGACAGGGTTTAGATTCTAGAAAACGAACAGAGAGACAAGAGAAGAGTTTTAGACATACTGAACACAGAGAGAAAGACAGAGTATAGACATACTGAAACACAGAGAGAAAGACAGAGTATAGACATACTGAAACACAGAGAGAAAGACAGTATGTTTTAGTACGATACTGAAACACAGAGTAGAAAGACAGAGTCATAGACATACTGAAGC